CCCCCGTCCCTGGGATTCTCCAGGCAAGAACACTGGAGTGGGTTGCCATTTCCTTCTCCAATGCATGAAAGTGAAAAGTGAAAGGGAAGTCGCTCAGTCGTGTTCCGACTCTCAGCGACCCCATGGACTGCAGCCCACCAGGCTCCTCCCTCCATGGGATTTTCCAGGCAAGAGTACTGGAGTGGGTTGCCATTGCCTTCTCCATTTTAACTGCTAGATACTAACAGATGTCTAGTAAAATTTCAGAAATCTCCTGGCATTTTGATCAAATCTCAAGGACGAAGTGATTTTGAAGACACTGCTGTCTTTTTCCTTGATTCTTTATCTAGCTAAGAAATAGGGAATGCCCACATCAGGAAGCTTGAGGGGAAGAAGAAATATCCAGGCAAAAGGCAAGGCTGTGTGCCCTGTCAGTTTAGAACAAAGACCATGCTGTCTGCTTTGAAGAACGCTCAAAAGTGAGACAGACAGCTGGGGGGCTGTCCAGTCTCCCTCTCCCTGGCTGACCAACAGCGATCACCTAGACAGAAACTGTCACCACTTCAGCTGCAAAGGACTAGGATGAGGGCTGCTACCACCCTCCTCTCCTGGAATGCTGTCCACAGAGAGGGATTACTGAAAACCCAGAACAAGGGAAGATTACGTGGCAGGGCTTCCAACATACCATATGAGGAATGGTTAAAGAATCTGGAGAGATTTAGCTGCAGAAGACAAGACCTGGGGGGAAAGTCAGTAGGCGGCCGAAAGTAACTAGTTTTTTCAAGAAAGAGCAGGGTTATCAGGAGGAAGAGGAACTGCACTCATCTTGTGTGACCCCAGTTGGTGGCAGCCCCAGTGGAATTTTCAGTTTCCTTCTAAGAGAAGGGCCCTGGTCCACGTTGTCTCTCTTCTAGGCAGTAAATAAAATGTATACTAACAGCAGCACTCCCATGGGGAGTACCATTCACGTGTTAACATTCTAGGTCCCAGAAAACAACTGCCAGCTCCAAGGCCAGGGCCTCTGCTTCGGGGAAGTTAGGAAACTGAAGTCCACCATCCTGACCTAGTCAAGGTGTGCCAAACACTCTTTGGTGAGCAACGGCCACCAAATGCCCTCCTCCCAGAGAGGGAGATTAAAGAACGATCAATGCAAAACTAAATTTAGACCAAACTCAGTGATAACAATTAGAAACAAAAAACTTCTTAACCAAACGTGAAGGATATGAGCTAATTAATGAACCTCACCTCACCTGTCAAAGACTCACAGTAAAGCAAGCTTTCAGTCCCCGCTGCTGCTCCCAAGCAGTGATGGAATAAAAGTGGGGAGGAAATGGGGTCAGAAGACTGAGCTGGGTTCTCTCTCTGCTGTCTATTGGCTGTGTGACCCTCAGCCATCTCTAAAATGTCCAGACCGCAGCTTCCTTATCTATAAACAAGAACAGTGCTTCCTACTGGTCAGACTTATTCAGGAAATGCACGTTCAAGCTGAGGGTAGAGAAAACTTCAACAAAGGTTTGTCTCCTCTGCGCCTCCTTTTGTTTTCAAACCACACCACCTTCCTTCAAAAAACTCCCTTTCACATTTAAAAAATGAAAAACAGCATTTTACAATAAGAAACACACCCATTACTATATTCAGAAACAGAAACACACACACACACAAAATCAGAAAGTGTGGACCTGCATCGTTATCCTAGATCAATAATACTTACAGCTATAACCCGGTAACCCCATCCAGTCAAAGCCAAAATCTGCCGGAAAAATACATCCGCAGTTCCGCTGACGGGAGGGAGAAATATGAGCGGACACCTGATATTTCTGGGGCCTGCATCGTAGAGCGACCAGATCTTACTATCATCATCATCCACAATAATCTGGAGGGGAAAGTTATAAGAAGAAAATGAAAAATCTCATGGATTTGATTTTACATATTAATAGTTATTTCGACACTGTAATTTTGCTGACAATTTTAATACCACTGTCTTGGTGGTTTACACACTAACGTGGGGGTCACACCAGACCAGTACATATAATAAACAGCTTTGTTTCCTTTTACTTCTTCAGAACTGACATCGTCCATGGAACTGCTTTATACTTTTCCCGACAGCTCCTTTTCCTCTCAGCTTGGAATTTTCCTCTCCAGTCATGATTATTTGAAGTTTATTTTGTTTACCATTAAACAGTAAACTCTGCACATGGCATCTTAATTCTTCCCCATATTTCTGGCTGTGTGTGTGCATGCACGTATGTAGGAGGAGAACAATTTGCAGTCATTCTCCAGTGCTGGCCCAGAGGGCTGGCTGGGATCAGCAGGGTTAGTATGTGAAAGGGGAGACGAGAGAAAGAAAAGACTCCAGGCTCTGGGGAGAAACCGCATAGAGATGGGACCACGCGTGGGATGCTTCAGGAGCCTGATCTAGACCAAGCCTCTGGGACAGAGAGCTCTGCTAGAGAGGAGGGACGAAGCGGGTGTAGGTGTCACTGCCCCCGGAGAGCATTTCAAACCATCCAGTCAGGTGAGGGGAAAAACCAGATTTTTTGGGAAAAGGGGATGAGGAGGAGGAAGGTCATCAGAAACCTTCCTCATTTAGTGGCTTTTGACCCAGTAAGGGGAAAAGATGAGCATTACATGAGCTGAGACAAATCAGGTGTTCAGCACAGAGCCTGGCAGATACCGAGTGTTCAATAGTGTCAAAAGTGTTATCTACAGTATGCACTGCATGATAGGTAATTTTCGTTCTCTTTGGCTGACTTTTTGGTGGTATTTGGAAAAGTACATTAACTGCTTGAACTTTTGCCAATGCAAATCAATACTTATCCTACTTTTACATTAAAAGGTTCAAGGTTCTATTTTTTTTCTTCTTTGGCCATGCCATGTGGCATGCTGGATCTTATTTTCCCGACCAGGGATCAAATCCACGCCCCCCTGATTAGAAGCATGGAGTCTTAATCACTGGACCACCAGTGAAGGTTGCATCTTCTGAGAGCTCCAAGTTGGCAGTGCTGTGGGGCCTATGGTGTCAGTGTGGGTGGCAGCATGCTAACTGGAGTCACGTAGCAGACAAACACGGCAGGGCAAAGTCTAGAGGGCCCTATCCAATGTTTTCTGGACTTCCACAAGTGACAGTATATCTCATGATTATGTTTTTGCCCTTTGGATTCTGCCACTCACATTTTTGCTTTTCATGTTTCTTTTTGCTGTGATTGTAGTAAAAAAAATCTTAGTGACCTTTGATAGTGCATACAGTAGATTCCAACCTTCTAGTAATAAAACATGAGATATGATATTCAGATTTCTGAAATTAAAATCTAGCACTATGAAATTTCAAGCAAACTTTTCATCACTTTTGGACCAAACTGACCAAAGGAGAACACTACATCAATGAAACTACTTCCTACAACTACTTCCAAGTATATTTTGATAAGTTTGTGTTGCTTTGGGTCTAGTGATTAGCTTGCTGAGTGAGTTCATCAAGGGAGCCCCTGTGAATTACTTGAGGGGATGGGACAAGGCAGAGGGGCTCCAGGGGCAATTCTTCTAGTGCAGGCAGTAGTTCCCGGGGTAACAAGAAGAAAGGCAGGTTCCCTTTGCTAAGCTGCCAAGTAGCTCTGGCTTTGAAGCCAGATGATTTGATTTTAACCCAAACTCTACTAGACTATGTGACTTTACATGTTAACCTCCATGAACCTTGGTTTTCTCATCTGTAAAATGGGCACACCACTACCCACTTTATTAAACTGTTTAAATAATTAAGATATTTGAGGACTTCCTACAACAGTGGAAGGTATTCTGTCTATATGTGGAAACTGTACCTCAAATTTCTATAGGAAGAAAAACTTGCTGTTCATATGGATGTGGTAAAAGTGATATAATGTACTCTGAAAGATCCATGATAAGGTACCAGAACATTCCTGAAGGCAACAAAATAAAACATGTGCCTTTAAAAAACAGGTGGTCTTCTACTGTGAGATTAGTGATTTCCAGCTTTTACAGTTCTATGACCTGGGAAAAGTTACTGACCCTTTGGGGACTTATTTTCTCATCTAATATTGTTTCACTACTCTCTCTCTCTAGAATGCAGAATAGTGCTTTGTACACAGCAGGCATTATCTGTTGACTAAATGAATGATTGCATCCTAAGCAGGCCGAACTAGTCAATCCTAGAATCCCTTTTAACCTGGGTACCTATGAGTGTTACATTGGCCGGGCATCCTCAACTTAAAGCTGCCCCTGTTTGCTTAAAAATCAATGTTGTGTCACAACAGGAACTTGAAAATTATAGTTCCTTGTTGCAGATTCTTATTGCCAAATGAAGAAATTCTACCTGTTGGTTTGGAAGGACTCAAATGCTCCTTTGCATCATGTCCTCTATTGCAGCACAAACCTGGATTTCCCTAGCAGGGCTAGGATGAGTCTGAGACCCTAGGACTTAAGTCTTAGGCTGACCGTGAACCAAGAACCTAGAAGGGCTTTTCTGGGCTGGTCAGGTGCCAGGGGGTCTTAAGTAAATGACTCTTCCTCCCTGGCCCTCCACATCTGCTCCCTCAAGACACAGGGCACTCAGCAATCTCAACTGTTGCCTCTAGCCTTGGGGGTTACTAAACTGAGCCCCAAGGAGATGGTAAATGTAGACATCCAATATTAAACTAGGTTTACAACCTTGACACTGTAATAATTGGTCTTTTCTTTCAAGGCTGGGATGGTTCTTAGAAAAGTTTATTGAAATCTTCAGTGGTTCTAAAATACGAAGAAAATCATCAGCCAGTATTATACAATCAATGTGCATGGATGTAGTTCTTATTCATACTAAAATAAAGAAAATCATTCTTTGCATATCCATTTTCTCTTAACAAATATTAACATGTTAAAAAAAACTGAAGCCATTTGAACTATAGCCTTTCTCTAAGCTGGTCACTGCTTTTAACTGAAAGCAACTAGCACATATAGTTAATTCTGGAAAATTTTCTACCTGGACAGACTTGAACTATTCCTATGTCATCTAACTATTGCCTCATCAAGACATTTTCTAGTATACCATTACTATAAACAATCACCATTCTACAGGAGGAAGTATCAAAAACATGCTTAGAAAAAAATCCCTACTCAACAGATCAGAACAAAACACCTACTCAAAACACCTTAGTTAACTAAAGTCAGAAATTTTGCTTCTAGATTCACCAAACTTGGGATAAAATAAATTATTCATAGTTTGGAATCAGTTGCAACATACAAACCAAACTATCATACAAATATACACACACACATTGTACACAGGCACACACATTCACTATCATTCACTTCTTCCCTCAGGAGTAAGTAGAAAGAGGTTCCTTACCACAGTCTTCAGTATTAGCCACAACCACCCAATATTATAACATTTATTTTATAACTAATCTCACTGGTTGGAGAGATTCTACTGAACGTTGACTAAATTTTTATAGAAGCAAGTGACTTGAACATTTGTGCTAGTTTGGCAGTACATGAAAGGTAAGATAGATACCAAATGTTGCATATGACCAACTGACATTTAAGTGGGGGAAAAAACTGCTGCAAAGAGAAAGCAGCTGTGAGTGGTATGAAAAGGAATTTTGTTCTCCTAGCTCTCTTTCATCCACTACAAGGGAATACTTTTCCAAGTCACATGGGGAACATTCTGCATATGGAAAAAAAAAAAAAAAAAGGTTCACTGAGACTGTGACCCAACTGATCGGTATTAAATAAGAAAGAATGTGGACCAGGAGCTCAACGCTGATTTGATCTCCCACAATTCTTCCCCAAAACAAAAGCACCTGTTCATGCTGCTGGGAAATGGGTGGCAGGAATTTTCCCTTAATCTTGCTCAGGGAAACCCCCTTCTCAGAGAGTCTCTCTGGGAACACTCAGTCCTCTCTGGCCCTTGTGCTGCTCCAGGATAGAACTGCCAGTTTTGAGTGTGCACCAAGAATTATATGCACTTCTCCATCAAGGTTTCACCAGAACCAGCCACTTTACAGTCCACTTATCCCTCAGGATTTCAACAGACCCTGCCAATTCACAGCCAATGAAATCACCTTTACAAATGTTTAAGTCATCTAACCAGTTTAACTAGTCACAGGTTTTCTGATCCTTTTCCTCAATCATATATGATCTACATATGGACAATCTATGATTCTTACTGACACAAGCAATAGCGAAATAGAGAGCCTAAGGGTTTCTGGATGATGCCACTGGCTTTTTAATGCAAGTCTCCATATCTCACCACACCAATACAGAGCTATTCTTTTCTTAGGTTTCCTGGGGGGAAGATTTATCCTTATCTTCAGAAACTTATTCTATAATTTTCTAAACCTCATGGGAGGAAAATCTGACTACTTGACATTTCGACGGTCACATCTCATCTTGTACCCTGTCTTAGTATTAAAGCTTTAGGAAATTTGCACACAGCTATTCAATTACCCCTCAGTCTCTTGAAGCTCTCTGCCAAGACGAGCTGGAACATTGTAGGGGGAGACAAAGAAGCAACATAAATGCAGAACTTAGGACTCCTGAGGACAAGGAGAAGAGGAAAGTGAGACAGCTTAGCCCTGCCACTTTCCTCACACCTGGCCCGTGCGCAGCAATGACAAAGGCATTTATCACTTTCAGGCTGAGGTGCAATCTCCAAAATTACTAGTCTGATCAGAGTTCTTCAAAGTTTATAGGAAAAATGCGTTCCTGGGCTGCAGCAGTGTAGCCCCAAGATGGGATTACAGGAGTATGTCCAGGTCAAGTACCCGACCCCCGACCCCAGGCGAACCACACACACATCTCCACCTTCTTCCAGTCCCACTGGTGACAGCCACACAAAGGCAGGGTCACAGGCACACCGATCACCCCCATGAACTCAGACTCGCCCTTAGACACACACAGGGACGTGCAATCACGTGCACGGTCACATGAACCGACCCACTCAGGGCCACACTCACAAAGTCACACCGAGAGAGGCAGCCGTGCTCACTACAAACCACTCTCACCTGCGGCCACAAACACATCATACACCCACATCCCCCGCTTCCCAGGACCTCTCCCACCCCTCACCTGCCGTGGCCGCCCCCAGGTCCCTGTCCCTCCTCCCAAGGCAGCTCTTCCCTTCAGAAAGGGGGCCGGCCTCGGAGGCTGCTGGGGCCCGGGTCGGGGCTGGAGGCCTGAGCGCTCAGTATCCGTAAGCGCTGCGAGCCGTGGGGGCGCGCTGGAGGGCCGGCCTCCGAGGGGCGGGGCGCGCGGCCGAGCGAGACCCGACCGCCGCCCTCCCTCCTCCGGAATTGTTCGTGCAGCTGGCGCGAGCCGCCAGCTTCCGGGTTCGGAGGGGTGGGGCCACGTAGCGAGGAAGGGGTGGAGCTGCGTGACTCCGGCGGTCACCATGGCGACGGGGCGGGTTGGACCACAGGGTGAAGACTCCAGCGTTCTCCCTACATCCTGCCGGCTGCAGAGTTGGCATCCGCTCTGGCGGGGGCGGGGACGCGGGGAGGAGGCCCAGGGAGACTCAAGGGTCAGTTCTAGGTCACTCATGTGACGTGAGCACCGAGGGAAAGGTTATGGGACTGGAAGAAAGGGGCGCCTGACCCTTGGGACCTGCCTGCCTGCAGTTCGGGGCATAAAGCTTTGAGGGAACTCCTTTGGGTTACAGGCTTTGATGAACAGAGCTTTGTATACTCTCTTTTCTTGACAAGATTTTTTTTTTTTATTTTGGCACAGCCACAAATGCCCCCCATAATCCTCCACTGTAACACCTCCATCTCCCTTTCCAGATTTGTGCTGAGGTCTTGGGAATTTCCAGGAACAGATCCCGCTGACAGTCCAGCTCCTTCATCACTTTCCCTTAAAGGACTAGACAATGTTCATATACTTATTAACATTATTAACACGGTTCAACAGTACGTGAACGGTGAAATTCCAGATGTTCAAGCTAGATTCAGAAAAGGCCAAGGAACCAGAGACCAAATTGCCAACATCTGCTGGATCACTGAAAAAGCGACCGTGTTCCAGGAAAACACCTACTTCTGACTTACTGACTATGCCAAAGCCTTTGAATGTGTGGATCACAACAAACTGGAAAATTGTTAAAGAGATGGGAATACTAAACCACCTTAGCTGCAGAAATCTTACACTCCTTGGAAGAAAAGTTATGACCAACCTCGACAGCAAATTAAAAAGCAGAGACATTACTTTGCCAACAAAGATCCATCTAGTTAAAGCTATGGTTTTTCCAGTGGTCATGTATGGATGTGAGAGTTGGACCATAAAGAAAGCTGAGTGCCAAAGAACTGATGCTTTTGAACTGTAGTGCTGGAGAAGACTCTTGAGAGTCCCTTGGACTGCAAGGAGATCCAACCAATCCATCGTAAAGGAAATCAGTCCTGAATATTCATTAGAAGGACTGATGCTGAATCTGAAACTCCAATACTTTGGCCACCTAATGCAAAGAACTAACTCATTTGAAAAGACCCTGATGCTGGGAAAGACTGAAGGTGGGAGAAGGGGACAACAGAGGATGAGATGGTTGGATGGCATCACTGACTCAATGGAGATGTGTCTGAGTAACTCTGGGAGTTGGTGATGGACAGTGAGGCCTGGCGTGTTGCAGTCCATGGCGTCACAAAGAGTCAGACACAACTGAGCAACGGAACTGAACTGAATATATTTATAATCACTTATGTAACATTTTGCAAAGTTCATGACTCTCCTTTTCATTAAAATATTTGGAGGTTTGAAAATGTTGAATAACATATAAAGCTCCTTGTTTGAAGTTTTTAGTGATCTTGCAGTAAGATCCTGCTGAAAAAACCTCTCCCTAATCTGTTTCAGGGAAAACTTGTACCTGATTAAAGACCCTTGCCTTTACCCCGGCAAATATTTTTGGGGATTAAGGGCAGGAAAGAATCTGAGTAAACTGCATCCTAAGTCATGACCTCTGCCTTCCTGCTTAGGAGTCTTGGACCCCAGTCTAGAATTGGGACAAATCCCAGATACATTTCCCAAGAACACAGTAATATATCCACCCCCCTAAACCCCCGCCAAATCACCTTTTCAGAATTTCAAATCAGTAACAGAAAGTGGGCTTTCCAAGTGGCACAGTGGTTAAAAAATCTGCCTGCCAATGCAGAAGACACAAGAGACAATTCCTGGGATGGGAAGATCCTCTGGAGAAGGAAATGGCAACCCACTCCAATATTCTTGCCTGGAAAATTCCATGGACAGAGGAGACTGGTGGGCTACAGTCCACAGGGTCACAGAGAGTCAGACTCAACTGAGCATACAACAGAAAGTGGTCTTCTGTTTTTCGCACCACAAAGGTTATGAATGCTTTTGTGGAAGATTTTTAACCTTGGGTGTTTTTCTTAAAAATTTAGAGAAGTTTAATGAATAGAATAACTGGCATATCACTGGTTGTATGTAAAACCCATTATAGGTACTCATTACATTTTTTATCTGTCTCCTGCAATGGGTTGGGAGTTTTAATTTAGTTAAAATTGAACACTGATTTAACCAGTGCATTAACTATTATGACCTGGTTCATAATAAGCACTAAATGTGTACTGAATGAATTAATTAGTGAATAAATAAATCTATCTGCTTGTATTCCTAAAGCTGTATGGCTTATATCCCATACTCCCAGACCTCACTTGAGTATCCGCACTAAAGAGACATGAATTATGGATTTGTTCCAATGTATTAAAAATCATTATTCTGGTAATAAGGATATTCTGGTTTCTTTGGTGGTAATAACTTTTAACTTGACTGTTGTTGGTGGAAAACCATTTTATTATGTAGATACATTTTGATATATTTCTACTTTTGTTAAAAGATCAAACCCCAAATCATGAATCTTTTGTTTCCCTTAGAAAAGGAACTCATGGTCACATTTGGACCTTCAGTTGTTCCATAACACATGGCAAGCACATTGTCCTTCCCTAATCTGTGAACAAGGAACAGTTAATATCTGTGGATTCCAGCTGCCCTATAATTGCACAACTGTAGGAAGCCAGCTCTGGACCCACGGCGAGCCAAGGTGCAAGCAGGCCTGGTGGGTGTGGCTGGGAGGCTTTGCAGCTGTCGTGGCTGGGGTCCGCCGGGTGGTTCCCCCGCACCAGTCCCTGTGTGAGAATCTCGCTTACAAACTGCAACGTTCACAAAATACTGTGAACACCAAGCAAAGTAAACAGGTGGCCAGCTGCTTCTCAGAACTGCCCAAACCCAAGCTCTTTTCCTCAAATTGATTTTTTGACAGGATGATATTTGTTTTAAAACACATGTGCAAAATAATCCTAGCTATATCTCTTATGCATGTATACATACCGGAGTGGTGGTTACCTCTGAGGGGAAACTGGGACTAGAAGGGCTGGTGAAGGAGAACTTGGCTTTAGACTTAGTATCTGAATTCACACAACAATCCATATGTTATTGTGATTAAAAAAAATATTAAAAGCAACTACACTCATGCTTTAAATGCTGCTCTAAACCCTTCGATGGCTTCTCATTGCCTTCAAGTTGAAGTACCAACCACATGAGCTACAGCAGGGTCTGACTCTCTCAGGGGGCCTCACACCTGCCCCACTCCACCTTACCCACCAGACTGAGTTTCCCTTATCTTGCCCCTGGGAAGCATGTGTGAAAAAGTAAGAGGAGCAAAACAATACCAATTCTTGGAATACCATCCTTTTAAGTTTTTCAGGGTACAACTGACTGTAGCGTTATACATCAAATTATGCTAAGAACCAGGTTTGAAAAAGAATACTGTCTCCTCATTGCCAGACCCAGTCTGTGACTTACCTATTTTATACTGGATTACAGGGGTTAGACACAGAATGGGGGAGTTCAGAAACCTGAGTTCTATCTTTGGGCAAGACACTTCCTCTCTCTAGGTGTAGTTTTCTTTTTTTTTTTTTTAAATATTTATTTATTTGGCTGTGTCGAGTCTTAGTTGTAGCATGTGGGATCTCAGTACTTGTGGTGCACAGGCTTGGTTGCTCCAAGGCATGTGGGATCTTATTTCCCTGACCAGGGATCGAACCTGAGTCCCCTGCATTGCAAGGCAGATTCTTAACCACTGGTCCCCTGGGCAAATCCCATCTACAATTGATCTTGATCATGTTTCACAGAGAAGCATTTACCAAATGTGAACACCTAAGAGCCAGCCATCTGGTGAAATTGGGCTGGAAGGAGAGGCTGGGGATGAGCCTCCTTCATCCCAAACCACAAGACATAAATCAAGCAAATCAACAAAGACAGCCTTCTGGCCCAGAACACTGGCCCAGGTGATTCAAAATATTCTAGTATATTCCANGCAAAAGAGTCAAACACAACTGAGTGACTGAACTGAACTGAACTGAAATATCTTGTATCATCTGTCAACCTAGCATCTCATTAGTGTTTTTTCCATAAATAACAATGTGATAACCTACCTTCCAGAAGGAGAGCTACAGTTAAAAAATCCTGGGAAACAAGAACTGCACTACTATAATACAAAATAAAGCAGCTTCTATCTGTAGGGTTCTAGAAAATGTCATGAATTCTTAGAGGTGATAAAGACAGTGATTAAATAGTAACTAAAATGGGAAAATCTTTTTGAAATGTCTAGCCTAGTGCCTGCATATGACAGCCAGTCAACTTAACATGGGCTCCTACTTCATTTCTGAGCACCAAAGCCTAGTACATTAATTCTTTGCTCACAGATAAAAAACATTTGCAATAGAGGCAGGGAAGCAAAGTGGTTAGTCCCACAGTCTGGTGTCAGACTACTTAAGTATGAATTCTAGCTCTACCACTTATTAGCTATCTAACAGTCTGGAAAAAGGAGGATCAATAACACTACGTAACTCATAGGTTTATTGTAAAGATAAAATGAGAAAGTTGAGGTTGAGTCCTTAGAAAGAAGACTAACAAACAATAAGTGTTGGCTAATAATAAAGTTATTGTGAACCTGCTGTGTTCCAAGCACTGTGCTAGGTGCATTACGTAGACTATTTTTATTCCTCATGCAAATCCTTGCAAAGTAGGTACATTTTTCATTGCATAGATAAGGGAATAGATTCAGAGAGGATGAGTAGGCTTAAAGAGGATGAGTAGGATTCTAGGCTTAAAGTCAGTGTCAGGACTCATGTCACCTGGGTTGAATCTCAAAATCGTATCTCTTTACCTTGAAATGGCTTGATAAAGAAAAATTGTGAAAATATGTTGTATCGCCTTTAAAACAGAGTTTAAAAGCAATAAGCATTCTTTCAGCAGCCTTTCTCAAGAGCTCAGTTTTGTGCTCAGAACCATTTCTTTTGTCCCTCAAATCAAACCAAGAATAAAATCTTTAATAAAAGCTACTGTAGGCTTCAGTTTCTAATATTGTCACTAGCTAGCTGTTGCTGGATCACCATTTCATCATTTCCAAACTGAATTTTGAGTACTAAAACAGAGTCTTTCCCACTCTAAAATTCTTTTCCTTCTGTTAGTCCAAAAGCATCTCAGCAAGCTGTTGCTGCCATCCAGAGGAGAAAATACTGTTGCAGGTCCAAAGAAGGCATCCTAGCAGTGTTAGACTACAGTGACAAAAATAGCTACATTTTATTCCCTACTATGCACCATGTGCTTCTCTGGGCATATTCTATATGTATTTGTATTCTGCAAGGTAGGTATTACCCATGTATTTAAACTGAGAAATCAGAATTAAATTTGCTTCTGTTTTTTGGACCACTGAGAAGTATGTGGTCCAACCAGGGATCGAACCCATGCCCCCTGCAATGGAAGCATGGAGTCCTAACCACTGGACCGCCAGGACATTCCCAGAATTTAAACTTTTCAACATTTGTCCTGGGCCACCCAACTACCAAGTAACTGAATTCTGTTGAGTCTGATGTGATTTCAGCAATGACAAGAATCAAAGAAGCATCTTGCACAAGGAGGCAATGTGTTTGCAAATTCATCCTTTCAGCCAGAATGCAGAATAGGCTGTGTCCCACCCCTTCTGGGAGGACCCCAGACCCAAGGCCCTGCATGTGGCTCCATGTGTACCTCTTAAGCTAGTTACAGCTGTGACTGCCCTAGCAGACAAATTATTTGTCAAGTTGTGATAAAATGCAGAGTCCCATATCCAGAGACTCTGATTCAAGCTCTGGAGTAAGGCCCAGGGATCTCCATTTTAAACAAGTACTCCAAGTGATTCTGGTTCAAATGAGAAACAGCTTGATCATGCTGGGCTGCAGTCTCCATCGGAGGCTGAAAAGAGTGGGCCACCTCCTTTCCTGAAGGCTATCTGGGATGTGCACCATTTAATTTTTCAAATGGGCTGTCAGCATAGAGCTGGCATTCTAAACCTGGGGTTTGTCCTCCAGTCCCAGGATGGGCTTGAGGCTCCCTGGATGGGAAACTACCCTCAGCAAGATGGGCCCTGGACTCATGCCTCAAGATTTCATGTGTAAAAGGTATTCCATATTGTCCTGAGTCTCTGGGAGATAGTGAAGGACAGGGGAGCCTGGCGTGCTGCAGTCTACAGAGCTGCAAAGAGTCGGCTGAACCACAAAAGTGTGCTAAGTACGGCAACCATGTCAATCACAATGACCAGTTTCCCTGTCCACCTCATGTGGCCTCACCCACAGCCTCCTACTTGGCGTTAGGCTGTATTGCTTACGCAGGTGAACTCACCAGACTCGGGTGGGCCTTGCCTCACGGGCTAGAGATGGTCTGGCACAAAAGATGCCCGCAAGAGCAATGGTAATGGGCAAAACAAGCAAAGAGGCTTCACCCAGAATGAAGCGCAGACCTGAGACCACCTTCCACCATGTAGTAAGAGATTAGAACTTAGAAGAAGAAATCTGTGCCCTCAGTAAGGCTCCCCACTCCCCATGGCAGTGTCTGAGTGGGTATCTCTTGAGATCTGCTGCAAAAATCACCATTAATATCGCCCATAAGCCCCCAAAGGACAGTGATCCTCCTTCTCACTGAATTTCATAACATGAACTTAGTGGAGTGGGGAGTAAGTTCTCAATACAGTTACCTGAAAACAACAAAAAGGCTCTCTAACAGTCATTCATTCTCAGACTATTTTGAGAGTATGGGATTAACAGATACTAAATGAAAGTTGTTTAGTCATGTCTGACTCTTTGTGACCCCATGGACTATATAGTCCATGGAATTCTCCAGGCCAGAATATTGGAGTGGGTAGCCTTTCCCTTCTCCAGAGGATCTTCCCAACCCAGGGATCGAACCCAGGTCTCCCGCATTGCAGGTGGATTCTTTACCAGCTGAGCCACAAGGGAAGCCCAAGAGTGAAGCCAAAACTCTCCATAAAACATCCAACTGATAACCCAAGTTCTTACTTCTACAGCAAAAATCTTTTAAACCATTTCCCCCCACGCCCATTAACTGCTGCCATAGTTTAGATGATGTTTGTAACCTCCCAACACATCTTCCTGCCCCAGGTTTTACCTCCAATCTACCTTCCACCCCACCACCAGTTAACTTACCAAAATGCAAACCTGTAGCTGTGTCACTTTCTTGACTATCTACTGCATACAAGACAAAGGTCCAGATTCTCATGGTCTTCAAGTCCTCCACCATCTGGTCTTCAGTCTCATCTCCATCATTCTACTCCACTTGTATCAATTCTTCCAGTTCCTTTAAAACACTTTCTTCCTGCCATTTGTTTAACATGCCACTTGTTTCTCTTCCATGATCCACCATTAGCTTTCTCCCAGCCAGCTATATAGACACATATGTAAGCATATAACAAGCTCATACACTGAAGAGTGTGCATAGCAAATTTATAAAGAATGATAAGAAAAGGCAATCGTGTTCCCATCACTCAGCTTAAGAGCCTTACCAAACCCCCCCGCAAGATAGTGTTCTTTTTATGCCTCTGTTCCTCTGCACATACTAGACTGTTCTTCCAGGCCTTGGTCTGCATAATGAACTTATCATTCGGAACCTTAGATTCAGCTTTGCCTCCACTGACTCCCTTGAGGGAGACTTAGTGCTTCTATAATACTTCCATTATGGCATTTAAACAGTCTTCTATTTGCTTATGCTTGTGTCCCCCATAGATTAAACATATATTTAATCTCTACATCTCCAGTAATCAGCATAAAATCTAGCTTACACTGCAAGTGTTCAACAAAGAAGATGTTTAAGGACTTCTCTGGCAGTCTAATGGTTAAGACTTTACCTTCCAATGCAGGGAGTGTGGGTTCAATCCCTGATTGGACAGTTAAGATCCCACATGCCTTGTGGCCAAAACCAANTGGTTTTGATCCCTATTTGGGGGACTAAGATCCCATATGCCAGGCAGCTCAGTCAAAAGATGGGGGGAAAAAAGGACTTGTATTGTTCAATAACTATTTCCTCACTTTCCTATTCTCTTTGACCACAAAACCCTGTAAATGGAATGATCACTACCAATTGCTTACTTTTCTCCTTTTATTCTATATTTACACTATTTCACTATCCCATTTACTTCATTTTAATTTCTCTCATAATAATTTGCAGTTTCTTCTGCACTGTCAAATCATATAGTCATTTCTCCATTTCCTTATTTAACCTGTCATCGATATTCGATTCCTTTTGAATTCTCTCTTCCTTGAAACACCTTCTTCAGTTAGGTCTCAGGAATCCAGCAGTCGCATGATTTTTGGCATACCTTTCCAAACCTGCTATTTTAGTCTCCTTTGATATTCCATCCTCCCAACTGTAGGGGCTTCCTTGCTGGCTCAGACAGTTAAAGAGTCTGCCTGCAATGAGAGAGACCCGTGTTCAATCCTTGGGTCGGGAAGATCCCCTGGAGAAGGAAATGGCAACTCATTCTGGTATTCTTGCCTGGGAAATCCCATGGACAGAGGAGCCTGGCAGGCTCTAGTCCATGGGGTTGCAAAACAGTTGGACACAACTTAGCAACTAAACAACAACAACAAAGTTACTGAATCATTTTTCATTGTCTGAGCAATAGTAACACCTTGGTAAAACGTCATCACAACCTGATGGACAGGCAGATAGTTGAGTGATGACCCAACTAAAAATGACAAATAACACAAACTACAAACTCAGCAAAAGAAGTGTAATAATGTGAAACTAAAAGACAGTGTACCTTGCAACAAACCAGCAGTATTTGTGACGGTTTGTAGTATATTACTAATCCTGGAATAACAGCCTGTCCTGTTAATTTTGAATCTAAAGAAAGGGGAGGAGAAAAAGAGGGATATGAGAGAGAGAATGAATAATTACACAACTTCATAGTGCTTCTTAAAAATCAAAGGAAACATAAGACAGTACTAATACTGGAGAGCACACCTCTGCTGATGCCCTGACTTTGTAATCCAAACCTTACAGCAGAGTCATGGTGCTGTGTGTGTCTTGAACCCAACGGGAACCTCTCCAAACACAGAAGCAGCTACCAGTCCTTTACTCAGTGTCCCGGAGACCAGCCTAAAATGTTGAACCTAGAAGTTTTGACCATTTGGGTGAAATAACTAGCTTGCAGTGGAGAGACATGCAAGGAAACTTAGGATCTAAGCTGGGCCCTCTACCACGACCAAACAAATCCCAGTTCCTAGGTCCCTGGGTAACTCTGACCCCCTCTGCACCAGCTCCCTCTGTGGCTCCCATTCCTGCAGCCTAACAGGATGGTAGGACACTAACGGGCCTCTGAATGGACCAGATCATGAAACGCTCCACCCTCGCCCGAGATTCTCACTGAGCTGCCCAGAGATTTTCATTATGATAGTCACCAGAGTGAAATTAACCTAATCATTCTGCATGCCCTGAACACCTTAAGAAAGGAAATCACAGAGCTTAATATGGGATGGTAACACTGGTATCTACTTCTTAATATCTTACAATGGCTAAAAGAGGAAATACATGTGAATGGACACTGCAAAGAATAACATTATAAATGAATGTAAAGTATTACAATTACTGAGCTGAAACTAAAAGAATCCTTATTTTTAGTAAATGTGACTCATGGTAAAACAGACGCATTTTCAAACAGACTACAATGAAAACATTTTCCATGACAGCTATTCGAAAGTAAGTACCACTGAGGATTGAACTATCAACTTCTACCAAATCCAGAAGTTTAATGGTATTATCCATCCAGAGTGTCTGCAACGGGATCTGCAAATAAAATGAAAGAAGGATAATAAAAAAATACACTCAATCCCCAACACTTTTCAATTATTATTTTGTGTTACTCTGGCCTGACTTCTCTCCCAATTACAGTGGAACTGGGAACTCAGTCTCTAAATCTTAGGGAACAGAACATAACACGACCCTCTGCATCAGCCCTAGGGATTTATAAGATCTTAAAATTAAACACTATTTTTAATCAATGTATATCTTTATTAATACTTCTAGTTAAAAATCATGCTCATTATAAAAATGCAAGCATTACAACAATTATGTTAAAAAATTAGAAAATGAGTAATTTCCCTAAGCATCACTGATCAAACACCAATCCAGTCATCCCACAGGGCAAAAGACAGTGAAAATGCAGTGCTGGCAAAACTGGTGGTAAATTTTTGCTTACAAAACTTTTATCATGGAAAAACAACAACAAATCTTCACTAAATCCAGGCTGCAAATGGCACTAAGTAACATAAATGATAAGCAGTTCAGTCTCATCATTTTTTTCAAGGACTGACTGCAGTTCAGTCCTCTAGTTCACAGATGAGGAAAGTGAGGCCCAGAGGTTACCTCCCATCCCCAGAGGTAACCACAATTAGTAGCCTGATGTGTATGTCCTTGTATTTTTTCTACAAATATAATTATCACAAAAATCTAAAACACAGTGTTTGACAACGAATTTTTTTTTTTTAAGGAATTTTTTTTTAACTTAACCATAAACGGTGGATAAATTTTCATCAGTACACACTTATCTCTTTCACTCTTTTATCTGTTGGACAATATTCCATTTTATAAAATGTACCATAATTTATGAAACCAATGCCTTTATGATAGACAGTTCATAACATATTACAAAATTAAAAAAAAAACTTTAAATGTTGTAATAGCCTGGCATATGTATCTTTGAAGACTTTTATGTTTCTGGAGAATAGTCTGTTGTTGTTTAATATATTTATTTACTCATTTGGCTGCACTGGGTCTTTAGTTGTAGCATGTAAACTCTTAGTTGCGGCATTGGGAGCTAGTTCCCTGACCAGGGTTTGAGCCCAGGGCTCCTGCATTGGGAGCACAGAGTCTTAGCCACTGAACCATCAGAGAAGTCCCAATAGCTGTTTTTTTAAGTGGACCACTTGGGTTAAAGAGCATCAACATTTTATTGTTAAACAGTCTTGATAAGAGAAAAAAATGACAGTCTATTACTGTTTATTATTAATGAGGCTAAGAGCAGTGCATATCTACTTGCACTTGTACATTTTATTTCTTAGGCCTGTTTATGCCCTTTGCTCAATTAAAAAAAAAAAGAGTTGTTCATCTCATTAATTCATGAGAGGCTTTTATATTTTTAGGAAATTAGCTCTTTAGTTCTCAAACGCATTATGAATATTTTTCCAGTTTGTTGGCTTTTAATATTGGGTAATTTTTCCATGCATAAGTTTATTTTATTAAGTAGTATTTATTAGCCTTTTCTCTCATGACTTCATTGGTACATATCATGCTTTAAAAGGCCTATCCACATTTATTAAACATTATAAAATTATTCAACTATGCTTTTTCCCAGTTCTTTGTGGTTTCATTTTGATCCATTTAGATTTTATTCTGATTTTAAAAGATGAGACTTGAAGGCTCCCTTTCTTTTGGCTAACCAGCCATCCCAACATTATATATTGGATAATCCACCTCGCCTTTCCCCACGGTGAGATGCTACTTTTACTAGACTTTGACTTAAATAGACTAACAGAAATTAACATACACCAGGAAAGTAAGTTCTTTCGAATTTCTGAAGTAAATAAACTAATTTTCAGACTGCAGTTCAGTCCTCTATTGCACAGATGAGGAAAGTGAGGCCCAGAGAAATGCACCCGTTTCCCCACGTTTAGACACAGCTGGTTAATGGCAGAGCCAAGGACCACAATCTACGTTTTCCCCTTCTCAGCTCAGGGCTTTTCATGGCCACCTCAACAGGACATTTGATGAATGGTTAAATCAGAGAATTAAACACACTCGAAGAAAAGTACTCACAACTTTATCTATGTCATATTTTGGTATAAATATCCTCTTCTATAATTTGCTGACTGATTCTTCTTTCACCAGCTTCCATAAGTCATGAAATGACTTTCATGTGCATAACCTTTTCTCTTTCAAAGAACTCTAAAGACTTCTGAAGCACATTTACTGACTGAAAATCATTTATATTTACAGAGGGCTACAAATAAGATATAAGTACAAAATTAGAATACACAGTAATTGTTCTTGGGGAAGTAAAGCTCATCTTCATCTTATCATCAGAGCACTGCAGAAAGGAAAGGGATAGTAAGAATACAGTCATTTCTGTGTTCACCATCATTACTGTCAAAATCACATGTTGGCATGGATTTAAACCCACAGTTTATCTCCTTTGATCTTGACAGTTGTGGACCGGGTCATTAACCCCATTTTACAGGTAAAATGCAGAAGCTCAGAGAAGTTAAGAATCTTGCTCTTGGTTAATACACAGCAGCTCTAGGAATCAAATTTCACTTTCTGGTTGCAAGATAAGCGTTCCTTCTGTTATAGCACAAGCACCGTCAGTGGAGAGGAAAGGTGAATTGCAGAAGATAGGGATTATTATGTAGTATTTAACCGTTTTAATTTTGGGGGAGCTGTCAAACTGTTCTCTACAGCAGCTGCCCCATTTTACATTTCCACCAACAATGAATAAGGGTTCCAAATTTCTCCACATCCTCATCAACCCTGATTTTTTTTTTTTAATTACAGCAATTCTATTAATGTGAAGCAGTATCTCAGTAGAGTTTTGGTTTGCATTTCCCTAATGACTAATGAAATTGATTATCTCCTCATATGCTTAGTGGCCAATTATATATTTTCTTAGGATAAATGTCTATGTAGATCCTTTGCTGATTTTCTAATCATGTTATTAGATCTTTGCTAATAATCTTAACCATTTTGCTTAACAAAGAGTTAAGAGTTAACTCTTAACAAAGAGTTCTTTGTTCTTTATATATACTGGTTACTAGACTCTCATCAGATATATGATTTGCATATATTTTCTTTTATTATGTAGGTTGTCTTTTCATTTTCTTCTTAGTGTTCTTTGAAACCCAACAGTTTTAAATTTTGAAATCCAATTTCTCTGTTTTTAGTTTGTTGCTTATCCTTCAGGCATTATATCTAAGAACCATTGCGTACTTTAAGGTCATGAAATTATACTCATATATCGTCTTCCAAGAGTTTTCATAGTTTTAGCTCTTACATTTAGGTTTCTGATCCATACTGAGTTCATTTTTATATGTGGTGTGAGGTAGGGATCCAAATACATTTCTTTTTTATTGTGAATATCCAGTTATCCAAGCACCAAGTGGTAAAAAGACTATTCTTTCACCATCAAATTGTCTTGGAATCCTTATCATAAATCAAGTGACCATAAATGTATGGGTTTATTTCTGGACTCTCAATTCCACCTCATTGAGCTTCATGTCTATCTTTCTCAGTATCACACATTGTCTTAATTTCTGTAGCTTTGTAGTAAGTTGTAAAATCAGGAACTATTAGTCCTCCAATTTTGTTCTTTTTCAAGATTTTCTGTCTATTCTGGACCTCTTAGGAGTCCATATGAATTTTAGGATAAACTTGTCCATTTTTGCAAAGAAGTCAAGAAGGATTTTTAAGGAAATGTGTTGAGTCTGTAGATCAATTTGGGCAACAGTGCCATCTTAACAATATTAAATCTTCTTATTCGCAAACACAGAGGTCTTTCCATTTACTTAGGAATTCTTTGCTTTTTATTAGCTCTATTTGTTTTAGAGAGGGGAGTCTCTATAATTTTCTATATATAATATTATAGACATAGTTTTACATTCTTCCTTTTTTTTTCTTGTCTAATTACTCTGGCTATAACCTCCAGTACAATACTGAATACAAGTGGTGAGTTGTTGTAAGGCAGAAACCAATACAACACTGTAAAGCAATTATCCTCCAATTAAAAATAAAAATTAAAACAAAAAAAAAGCAGCAGTGAGAGTGGAGATCTTTATCTTGTTCCTGATCTTAGAGGGAACACTTTCAATCTTCTGCCATTAAATATGTTAGCTTTGGATTTTTTTTTTTTTGGTAGATATTCTTTACCAGTTTGAGGAAGTTCCTGTCTATTCTTAGTCTGTTGAATATTTTTATCCTGAAAAGATATTGGAGTTTTCAAATGCCTTTTTTATATCTACTCAGACAGTTATGTGCTTTTTGTCCTTTATTCTATTAATATGGTGTATTACGTTGATTTTTCTATGCTGAACCAACCCTGTATTCCTGGGCTACATCACACGTGACCATGGTGTATAATCCTTTTCTACATGTTGTTTGACTTAGTTAGTTAATTCTATTAAGGATTTTTGCCTCTATGTTAATAAGGCTATTGATCTGTAGTTTTCTTTTTTTGTGAATCTTTATCTGATTTAGCTTACTTGAGTTTTCTATTAGCTGCTCCCTCTGCCTGGAATGCTCTTTTCCTGATCTGGGCATGACTTTCTCCTTATTGTCTTTCAGACCTCAGCTTAAATGTCAGTTCAGAGTGGCCTTCCCCAAATAGATATCCAATCTAAAATAGCCACCAGTGAATCTATCACATTATCTTCCTTTAATTTTCACTGACGAGCTTGTGACACTATCTGATATTTTCCTTATTTATTTGCTTATTTGTTTTTGCTTTCCCACATCACCTCTAACACCTAGAACAAGGCCTGGCACATAATAGAATTTCAATAAATTATTTTTTTTAATGAATGAATAATAGTTGGTATCAGATACTGTACTAGATGCTTTATATACAATATGTCATCCTAATTTTCAAATGAGCTAACTAAAGCTCAGAAGTTAAACAACTTTCTTAAGTCTACAAAGTTAGGAAGTAGCAGAGAGAAACTGGAATCCAGCTCTGACTGGTTCTAAAGTCAATGTTCCTTCCCATATGCCATTCCGTTACAGCGGGAAAAGTACAGGGTTTGAAGTCAGGCAGATCTCTCACTAACAATGTGACCGTCAGCAACATTCAACAACCATTCACTGAGCATCTACTTTAAGCCTCAACTTGTCAACTTAAAATGGGATAATACCCATAACATAAGGTTGTAATCCTCACTGAAGAACTGGGCATGTTACTGATATTCAAAGGCAGTTCTCCATTTTAACCAACAAAGGTAGTCCATTAAAAACCCCAAACTTGGGACTTCCCTGGTGGTCCAGTGATTGAGAATCAGCTTGCCAATGCAGGGGACACAGGTTCAATCCCTGGTCCAGGATGATTCCACGTACTACAGGGCAACTAGGCCCATGCACCATAACTATTGAGCCCACTCTCCAGAGCCTAGGACCTGGAACTACTGAGCTTGAGTGTAGCAACTCCTGAAGCCCACATACCCTACAGCCTGAGCTATGAACAAGAGAAGCCACCACAATGAGAACCCTCAACTAGAGAGGAGACCTTGTTCGCCTCAAGTAGAGAAAGCCCACGCACAGCAACAGAGACTCAGTGAAGCCAGAAAATAAACTAAAAAATAAAAAAGTTTAAAAAGATTCTATATAACAAATATTTAAAAAATGAATGTCAAATGTACAAAAGAATTAAAATAGGGACTCAAACAGATATTTGTACACCCACATTCACACCTGCATTATTCACATTAACTAAGAGGTGAAAACAACTCAAATGGCTATCAAGAGACGAATGGATAAACAAACTGTACTACATATATATACAATGGAATGTTATTCAGCCCTAAAAAAGAATGACATTTTGATACATGGTACAACATGAATGAAACTTGAAGACATTATGCTAAATGAGATAAGCCAGGCACAAAAGGACAAATATTGTATGATTCCACTTATATGAGGTGCCTATGATAGGCATATTCACAAACAGAAAGTAGAATAGTGATTACCAGGGATGTTGGGATGGGTGGAATGGGGAGTTGTTACTTAATGGTTATACAGTTTCAGTTTGATATCAAGAAAAAGTTCATTTAGAAATTAATTTCGGGGACCTGGTAGTCCAGTGATTAAGAATCTGCCTGCCAATACAGGGGACACAGGTTCAATCCCCGGTCCAGGAAGATCCCACATGCTCAGGAGCAGCTGAGCCTGGAAGCCGCAACTACCAACCTCACATGCTTCAACTACTGAAGCCCGTGCATTTAGAGCCCATGTTCTACAACAAGAGAAGCCACTGCAATGAGAAGCCCATGCAGTCAAAAATAAAATAATTAATTAAATGAAAAAAGAATTTCAGGACCCTTAGGTTTCGTTTACGAGATTTATTTCTAAATACTTCAAAAGTAAATTATAACACACACACACATACACACACAGTTAGGTAAAACCGCAATTTGACTTCCAACTTACTATATTTCCAACGGCACGATAAAGTCTGAATATCTGCTTTGAAGTTTGTTCCTCCCATTTTATACAGCTGGTAGCAGCAGAAATCTTAGGGGCTGTAAGAGAAAGTCAATGGCAAGAATGAATATCAGGTCAATGACCATAAATTGGTAATTATTGATACAGAATGACAGAGAGAATGATCTGAATGATAGAAAATTCATCATATTATTTTCTCAACTTCTGTATGTTTTAAATTTTCCATAATGTAAAATAAAATATATATATTTACACATACATACATAATAAATAAAAGTACTAGAAGAAAACATTCCCTGGGCTGGGAAGATTCCCTGGAGGAAGGCATGGCAACCCACTCCAGTATTCTTATCTGGAGAATCCCCATGGACAGATGAACTTAGCAGGCTACAGTCCATGGGGTCACAAAAAGTCAGACACAACTGAGTGATTAAGCACAGAAGAAAGCATGGGTAAATTTCTTTATAACCTAGGAAGAGAAAAAGTTCTTTTATGATTCAAAGTTCAGAAGAAAATAAAGAATGATAAATGTGACTACATAAAAAACTTTTATAAAACAAAAAGAAATGCCACAAATAAAGCCAGGAGACAAATGACAAACAAGGTATTTGCAATTTATACCACAGGGTTTTATATCTATTTATATATACTGCATGAGAGATATATCTATATAATAAATATAAGTATTTGCATATAAGTATTATATATGTGTGTGTTATTTATATATTTAGGAGCACTTTGTATCTATTATATAGATTTATTTATATCTATTACACAAAGTACTCCTAAAAACTGAAACAAAAGAAACCAAAAACTGAGTAGAAAAATGGGCAAAAGATATAATAGACTCTTCTCAGAAAAAAAAATGCAAATAGTCCTTAAACATGAAAAGTTCTGCAGTCTTACTCAAGGAGTAATGTGAATTAAAACTACTCCAAGATACAATTTCTCATCTCTTAGATTAGGAGGTAATATATGCATAAAGATATTCATAGTAGCATTATTGGAAATAGCAAAAGATTAGAAATAACCCAAATGTCCACCAATAAGGGGGTCTATTGATTAAACTATGATTTTTCCATACAAATGAGAACTATACTGCCATAAAAAAGAACATGAAAATTTCTTATTGATAGATGATCACCAGCATACATTGTAAAGTGAAAAAAAGAAAGATGCAGAAGAGTGTATATTTTAAGCTATCCTTTGTGGAATAAAAAAGAAAAAAATCAGTTTTAATGTGTTTTTGCTTATTTTTATAAAGGAAACAACTAAAAGTCTAAATCAGAAACCAGTAGTTCTAGAGGGAGAGAGAAACAGGATCCAAGGAGATAGGAATGGGATGGAAGTAAGACTTCTCTGTGTAACCTTTCCAAATGCTTTTAACTCTGAATCATGTAAATGTTTCAAATATTCAAAACTAAGATTTAGTTGTAAAGAGGAAAAAGGCAATCCTGAAAATTAAAACCAAACTGAAACAAAGAAACAACTATATAATCTAATATTAAACTAGATAACAAAGCCACATGGAAAAAGTAATTATCTCCAATAAATTTTTAACATAGTACTCTGACTATATACCTCAGAATGATATATTTTAAGGACCAAAAAAAAAAAAAAAAATGTAGATCTTAACTCTTACTTAGTACTTAAATTTTTCACAGTAATATTAGTGTTGCAATTTTGGAATTATTTTATGCACAGCAAATAAAAAATGGTACAGAACTGATTTTAAAAAGATTTTTTGTGTAAGAGAAAATACAAGAAAAATCCTGTACTTTAAAATTTGAATTAGAAACAGTATCAACTCAAATATTTTAAAAAATATATAACACCTAGCCTTTTCTGACACCTCATTTTGGAACACATCATGGTATCAGATGGTTTCTAAATAACTACTCCCCAGCTAAAATAAACAAGGGAGAGATGGCTGATTCCAACATGGGGCACAGAATTTATAAGGCGAGCCTGGGACATCTTGTGAAAAAACAAGGAAGCACTCAAAAACTATTTTGGGGGTGGGGGGATATCAAAAGGATGCAGGCGCCAACTTTAAGAAGCCACCACTGGCCAAATTTGGGACAGCTTGAGCAGCACAAAGCATTAGGAATGTGATTAACTATACAGAGTGAAGTAAGCCAGAAAGAAAAACACCAATATAGTATACTAACACATATATATGGAATTTAGAAAGATGGTAATGATAACCCTATACATGAGACAGCAAAAGAGACCCAGATGTAAAGAACAGTCTTTTGGACTCTGTGGGAGAAGGTGAGGGTGGGAAGATCTGAGAGAATAGCACTGAAACATGTATTATTATCATATGTGAAACAGATCACCAGCCCAGGTTGGATGCATGAGACAGGGTGCTCAGGGCTGGTGCACTGGGATGACCCTGAGGGGTGGGATGGGGAGGGAGGTGGGAGGGAGGTTCTGGATGGGGAACACGTGTACACCCATGGCTGATTCATGTCAGTGTATAGCAAAACCACTACAATAATGTAATTAGCCTCCAACTAAAATAAATTAAAAAAAAAAAACACACACACACAATAAATAAAAACTCACTTGCCATCATAACTGAAAGTGATTATGGTGCCAACTCAATTTTAAAAATAGATAATTACAAAAAAAATTGATAATTACAGAAAGAATTAAGAAATTATCCTGCCCTCTTGGGATGAATTAAAATTCACCCCCAATTAACGAGGAAAAGCTCTTCTTTACAGAACAATGCCAACCATTAAATACAAAAGGAACTGGAAAACAATTTTGATTTTCATTGAAATAATTCATTGAAGGAAGGAGCATCAATCCCTGCTAAAATTGTGAAAGGCTGTTGCTGTTTAGTTGCTCATTCACGTTCAACTTGTTGCAACCCCATGTACTGTAGCCTGCCAGGCTCTTCTGTCCATGGAATTTTCCAGGCAAGAATACGGGAGTGGTTTACCATTTTCTCCTCCAGGGGATCTTCCTGACCCAGGGATCAAACCCTTGTCTCTGCATCTCCTGCATTGTAGGCAGATTCTTTACTGCTGAGCCTCCAGGAAACCAGCTATCTGCATAGTTATCAAAGTATCACCCTGCAGATTAACTGTCATTTGCAAAGGAAGAAACGTGGCTTTACAGTAGAAAGACCTGGTGGTCACCACCTCAACCAAGTGATCAAACTTAGCCTCACTAGCTTTGAGGCAACCTAGTATTATGGCTTACTCATGTGACACGCTAAAACTGCGGCAATAGAGGTAGAGACTTCCCCACGTGCAGGTATGTGCTCAGTCACGTTCAATTCCAGAGACTTCCCCAAGTACATCCTTCACACAGTTTTACACTTTGAGTCATGAAAATGTCTCACACATTCAAGAAATTAAATTAAATCGTAAGTTCAAATAAAAAGCAACACAAGGTTAAAAACAACGTGAAACAAATATCACTAGAACACAGTTATCATCTATGAAATTCTCTTTCCACAACTTTAAGCTTGAATCTAATCAAGTCTTGAGAACTTCTGATTTACAGGAACTTTAAGGGCTAGAAAAACTACACACTGAACTAAACATTGAAAGGAAACAGACAATTGGCCTGGTCTCTTCAAAAAGGTAACGACATAGAAAAAAGCAGTGGAGGAATGACTCTAATAAAACTAAAGAGACATACAACTCACCGTTAACTGGATCCTAGTCTGAAAAAATATACAGCTATAAAATATGTTTTTAGACGGGAAAATTTAAATATGGACTGGCTATGTTCACGTTTCCTAGGAGATGCATGTTAAAATATTGAGGGATGAAAAGTTCTAATGCATACTTCCAAATGGTATCTGCTAAGTCGCTTCAGTCGTGTCCAACTCTGTGACCCTATGGGCCATGGCCCACCAGCCTCCTCTGTCCATGGGATTCTCCAGGCAAGAACACTGGAGTGGGTTGCCATGCCCTCCTCCAGGGGATCTTCCCAGCCCAGGGATCGAACCCACGTTTCTTTACTTCTCCTACTTTGGCAGGCAGCCTCTTTACCACCAGTGCCACCTGGGAAGACCCCAAGTGGTATAGCAGAAATTAAAATATATATACTACATAAACACACGTATATATAAAGAAAATATGACGAGGGACAGAGACTTTACAAAGTGAACAAACGTTAGTAATCGTTGACTCTGGGTTAAACTGGTATTCACTGTCTTTCAATTTACCTTTGTATTTGGTACTTTTCAATAAAAAGAACAGAAAAAATTGTTTTAATCTTTCATAGGGCTACACGTGAAGAGGGAGAAAGATCCCTTACCGATAGTTCTCTGGAAACAGGCCTGCAAGTGGACACTCGACCTTTAGCCAAATTAAGGGAAATGTACAAGCGAGGAAGTCAGAGGATTCAGATGCCAATCACGACAAACAAAACCTCAGGAAAGATATGAGTCTGGGCCGTCTGCACCTACCATGCGTCACCCCCTCGGCTGGCTGCTGTCTTCCGTTGTTCAAACTTTCAGGCAAATTTTTCAAAACTGAAATAAGCTTTAAAAAAAAAAAAGTAGAGAAATATATTCTAGATATTTCTGAGAATGCTGAGCCCTGACTGGCCGTTAGAACAGCCTGAACTCAGCTAACCACACTCTCTGTGGAGACCTAAAGAGAGTGTACTCTGGAGTCACATAGTTCTGGATTCAAATCCCAGTTCCACTGCCTACTAGCTGTGTCTCTGTGGAAAAGTTATTTTACTTGTCTGTGACCTTCAAGGTCATCATCTCTAAAACAGTTGAAAAAGGTTTGTTGGAAAGGTTAAAAAAAAAAACAAAGGATATGAGAGCATCTATAATAGTATACTGTAATAGTATCTAATACAGTCCTTGGCACACAAGCCAGTGCTCCATAAATGACAGACACTATTATAAGAGCATTTCCGAGGTGACTGCCTAGAATGGAAAGCACCATCTCTAAACCTGGGGAGAATGTCTTCCTCCACAGAAAGTTTAGTTCAGATGAAAACCACTAATCGGGCCATTAAGCATTTACTCAGATTGAATGAAAAAGTCACAGAGTTCATTTATAGCAAGGGGTCAGCAGAATTCCAAAGTACATGGATGCAGACTACTGGAACACAGGGACAAAAGCGGGAGGAAAACTGTGACTGACTTAGGAAATGCTCCTGGTCCGGGTTTGACAGGGATGAATGGTACGTCCCTGAGACCAAGAAGAGTGAAACTGGGAAGAATCGTCTAAAAGCCTCTCCATGGAATGAGGCAGATCATATAAAATCACATGTTTCATTCAAAAGCCTTGAATAAGTACCTCCTCTGTGTAAATTCTCAAAGACTTCCAAGCCGATTTTTAGGAAGCCAGGGATAGAAATCATTTTTCAAAAATAAGCTTAAACTTATATATCATAAAAGTGTTCTTTTCACCATAACCACTTAGGAAACAAGCAGAGTGTACCATGTTGGCGCCCAGTCTTGACAGCACGGCTTCCAACTCCTTTGAGGTGCTCTTGGGTGGCACAGGAACCGTTTCCTGTTTGAGGATTGGGCCTACATCAAACCTACCAAGGAAATCAAAAGCAAATAGTAACATGATCACTGACTATTTCTTAAGATCACTATGTTTGTCTACACGGATGTTTACATACCACAAGGATGGTTTTTGTTTGTTTTTTAGGCCACATGTATGACTTCTGGGATCTTACTGCCCTGATCAGGGATTGAACCTGGGCCCCCTGTGGTGGAAGCGCAGAACCCTAACCACTGGACTGCCAGGGACGCCCCCAACAAGGGTAGTTCAACCATGGCCATGAATGTGACTGGCAGCCATCGGCAAGGGAGAAATGTCAGTTTGAAAGAAAGGTGAGCAACATTAGCATGTTACTAACATCACTTGAGTTTATTAACTAGAGAATTTAAGCCCATTAACTTTCCACCATTTTCTGCATTTTCACCTGGTTTACTCTTAACTACCATTTTCTGGTCATATAGGGCATATATGGAGCCAATATTTGAGCTTAACAAAATTAAACTCTAATACAGTCATTTTACTAAGCTATTAAAAACCATAAAATTAAAAAAAATAAAGAAAGAAGGGAGAGCAAAACTGACCTATGTTTAGATTTTAAGTCTATTTTTTCCCAAAGGAAAAAAGTATAAAGTTGCACATCAGGGATTTAATTGCAACCACAAATAATTCTACCATTAGTAATAAATAGTACGAGAAAGTCTCTATTTATATAATGAAAGCACAAAGCAAAGAATTTATTTTCCAAGGAAGTACAATTAAGGAATTATAATCATTCCTTTCAATATTTCCTTTCTCAAAGGACAAGAGTTTTGCCTGAATTATAATCAATAGCGATTACAAGTAGGTGCAAATGTATTTGCATTGCCACAAGTCTTGAATGTTATATCAAGCTCTGCAAATATTGGCTATCAACTTCTATTAGAAATATATTTTGTTTTAAATATGTAATTTTGTGATCTGTTAACTCTATTTTTTACCTATAAGCTTTAGTAAAATGCTTACTATGAAAAGCTACAAACATTCCAAAAACAGAGTGAACAGTCTAAGGAATCCCCATACACACACCATTCAAATTTGAGAACTACCAAAGTTTCACCACTCTTGTTTCATCTGATCCTCCCCTCTTTTTTTATTTTTTGAAGTTAAAGCAAATTCCAGATATTGAGTTATTCTTGTGAACTTGTGAATTTTTCTTTTCTCCGGAGACATTAGGTGATAAAACGCAGAGTATTAAGATACTCTCCTGATACAATTAAAATAACTGTTTTTTAGATTGTAGGTATGATTTAAGAAATTAAATATTAAAGACAATTATATAACACATTGGTATACAATGTATTACTTCAGGTTCAAAAAAAATTTTGACCCTAGAAACCAAGGCCAGCAGAAAACCAAGATGATGACAACTAATATGCAAAAATCCATCTCTCACTTATAAATGTCATTTACAGAAATCCAGCTGTTAATAACATTATTTCATTAACAAGTATAAAGAGACCCTGTGTAAATTCTAAAACACATGTTTTACGTTAGAAACCAGGAAGAAATAGAAGAAAAAAGCACCCTGGAGTTAAGAAATGAGTGATTAGCACCCACTTATCCACCTCCCCTTTCCCTCAGGCAGACTGACATCAACAGTCAAAAATCACAGAAAGTCTCAAGACAGGAAAATACGCTCTACCTTTTAGGTTTAATCTGCATAATCGTCACACCAGCAACTGTGTCTCCGTGGAGGATGGTGTGGATTATAGGGGCTGGACCACGCCACCTCGGAAGGCAACTGGGATGGACATTCAAGATACCGCTGAGTTAGAAAAGACAGAAATTAGTATGAAAGTGGGCTTTTCCACCATTTAGTTTCCTGCTGCATATATGTGAGCTAAATCGCTTCAATGCGTCCGACTCCATGAGACCCCATGGACTGCAGCCTACCAGGTTCCTCTGTCCATGGGATTCTCCACGTAAGAATACTGGAGTGGGTTGCCATGCCCTCCTCCAGGGCATCTTCCCGACCCAGGGATCAAACCTGCAGCTCCTGCATTGCAGGCGAATTCTTTACCTCTGGGCCACCAGGGAAGCCCCTTAGTTTACTGCTACCTGAACTAATATGCTATTTTTCATCATTAAACTTTGCCAAAAACTTTGAAAAACAGTTAAATCTAGTCTCAAACCAACTAAAGCAGGAGTCAGAGGCTAAGTACACTCTCTTGCCATAAGAGACCCATGAAACTCAATAACAGAGCAAGAACAACTATTCATTCTTCCAAAGATGTTCCACAACAGCTTGTGATATCTGGGACTTTTTAAAAACATAAAATGTGTTTTTTTACTATATAAGAAGAACCACTCAAACCCAGTCGTGCATTTCATGGACAATGTAAAATTATACTTTTTAGTCAAATTACGTAATTGCCCCCACTCTACAAAATTTGCATTTACAGTTCCTAAAACAAGCTTCTTAGATCCCCACTGAATGATTTATTCACCATTGGTGTGTCTCCCAATATGCTTTTCACCCAAAAATAAGCAATTTTAATAAGTTACTAATCTGCCATTAGTTTAATGATGTTTCCATCAGCATGAGTAGGCACTTGAGAGTACGTGTGTATGTGTATATACATATAAAGTGAAAGTGAACGTCACTCAGTTGTGTCAGACTCTTTGTGACCACATGGAATAGTCCATGGAATTCTCCAAGTCAGAATACTAGAGTGGATAGCCATTCCCTTCTCCAGGGGATCTTCCCAACCCAGGGATCGAACCCAGGTCTCCTGCATTGCAGGCAGACTCTTGACCAACTGAGCCACCAGAGAAGCCCCTATATATACAAGACTCCTATATTCTAAACTCCACTGTTCAGCCCAGTCTCATTCATCCAACAAATATTTACCAAGTACAACTCATGTCCTGGCACTAAGTGCTAGGGATATAAGCAATAGTGAATCAAACAGGAAGGAAAAAAAAAGGATTTGATTTTACTATGAGCGACATGGAAAACCACCAGCGAACTCCGAGCAGAGTAACATGACTGACTTACACTTTAAAAAGATCACGTGGTGTTGGGTGGTGATAGACTGAGAGGCCAAAGACAGAAGTGAAGACCACTTAGGAGGTTGTGCAGTGTCAGCGCCAAGAGTGGTGGCCACAGAAGTGATGAGAGACCATCATTCTGGGCAGATTTCAAAGGCAGAGCTGACAGAACTTCCCGATGGATTGGATGTGTGGTGTGAGATACGGAATTAACAACAATGCCAAGGTTTTGGGTCCTGAAGGCTGGAGTTGCCATGTGCTGAAATGAAGATTTTGGGAAGGATCAGGCTTCGGGGTGAAAGGTTCAGGATACCTTAAATGTAAGGTACCTATCAGACATCCAGCAGAGCTGCAGAGGAGGCAGTGTGTACCAGGGGCCTCGAGCTCAGAGAGAGATCTGAATTGGAGGGACAAATTTGGGAATTGTCAGCATATATACAGCACTTAAATGAGGGTGGGTGAGAGCCCATACATAGTGATAAAGGCCATCATACATTTTAACAATTCATGCCAGTAATGTTAATTAATCTTCCCATGTGACTTGAAATGTCAGTATGAGGACATGACATGTAAGACAATTTAGATTGCTACGGCATGTTTTTCCTTTTCAGCTGTGCTTTTTTTGGCTTTTTTTTCCATTTGGCTTTGTGCAAATATTGAAATCTCAATGACTGCATACTTCATAATTGAGATGGACACAACTGAGCAACTGAACTGAACTGGACATGGAATGGACTGGTTCCAAACTGGGAAAGGAGTATGACAAGGCTGTACATTGTCACCCTGCTTATTTAACTTATATGCAGAGTACATCATGTGAAATGCCAGGCTGGACGAAGCACAAGCTGGAATCAAGATTGCCAGGAGAAATATCAATAACCTGATATGCAAATGATACCATCTTTATGGCAGAAAGTGAAGAAGAACTAAAGAGCCTCTTGATGAAAGTGAAAGAGGAGAGTGAAAAAGCTGGCTTAAGACTCAACAGTCAGAAAACTAAGATCATGGCATCCAGTCCCATCACTTCATGGCAAATAGATGGGGAAACAATGGAAACAGTGAGAGACTTTATTTTGGGGGGCCCCAAAATCACTGCAGATGGTGACTGCAGCCATGAAATTAAAAGATACCTGCTCCTTGGAAGAAAAGCTATGACCAACCTAGACAGCATATTAAAAAGCAGAGACATTACTTTGCCAACAAGGTCTAGTCAAAGCTATGGCTTTTCCAGCAGTCATGTATGGATGTGAGAGTTGGGCCATAAACAAAGCTGAGCACCGAAGAACTGATACTTTTGAACTGTGGTATTGGAGAAAACTCTTGAGAGTCCCTTGGACTGAAAGGAGATCCAACCAGTCCATCCTAAAGGAAATCAGTCCTGAATATTCACTGGAAGGACTGATGCTGAAGCTGAAGCTCCAATACTTGGACACCTGATGCAAAGAACTGACTCACTGGAAAAAACCCTGATGCTAGGAAGGATTGAAGGGGGGGAGGAGAAAGGGACGACAGAGGATGAGATGGTTGGATGGCATCACCAACTCAATGGACATGGAGTTGGTGATGGACAGGGAAGCCCGGTGTGCTGTAGTCCATGGGGTCGCAAAGAGATGGACATGACTGAGCAACTGAACTGATCAAATTACTGTGCAATGTATCTTAAAAACATGGGAACACAGAGAGGATTTCAGTGGTGTTTGGAGCCAGTGCTTACTGACTCATGAAACCAATCATAGCATCTCCTCCAGTGCTGGCTGAATAATGGATCTCCAAGGATGTTTATGTCCTAATCCCCAGAACCTGTGAATTTGTTACCTTACACATTTTGTAGATACAGTTAAGGTAAAAGACCCTGAAATAGATTATCCTGGATTATCCAGTGGGTCCAATCTAATTACATGAATTCTTAAAAGCAGTGAACCTTCCCTAGCTGAAGGTCAGAAAGTGATAATGGAACCGAGAGATGTGAAGTGAAAAAGCCTTGATCCTCCATTGCTGGCTTTGAAGATAAAGGAAGGGCGCCATGGGCCAAAGAAAGTTGGTGGCCTCTAGAAGCTGGAAAGGGAAAAGAAGTGGATTCTCCCCTAGAGATTCCAGAAAAGAATGAAGTCCTGCTAACACTCTGATTTTAACCGCGTGAGCCATAGGTAGACTCCCAACCTACAGAACTATACAGCAATAAACTTGTGTCGTTCTGAGCCACAAAACAAAACAATTCAGGCCACTAATGAAATCTTTTACTTTATAAGAAAATACTGAAGCAAGCAGAATTAGAGTTCAAGTCACATGGTACTGCGCTTTAGATACCAGGTCCAATATATAAAGACCAAGGTCTGTGCGCTGTATTTCCTTACAAATAAAACTTACTAGGGAAATTTAAGAATAAGAGCCTCACTCAAAAGTCGGCCAAATGATGCTACCACACCAACATCGTATTCTCCAGATCCCACATCTGGCCACTCATACACTGGAAGCTGAGACTGGACAGCATATTGCTTCACGGGCAGTCCTTTCGGTGATGGGGAGGGCACTGTGACCACCTCCAACTTCTCAATTAACTCTTCCTCTTTGTTTTCCCTAAGGTGGAAAGATTAGAAGAAAATATGACAGGGTTAAGATAATGATGGAATGTTAAACTACTTCATACATTTCTAAGGCATTTTTCTGATTAATTCACGAAGTATCTAAGGGTAAATGTTAAAACTAGTGCAACTGAGAGACTAAAGTTAGATTTATTTATTTAATTTTAATTGTTTAAATTCAAAGAGCCACAAATGGCTACTGTTCAAACTGTTACAGTTCTAGAAATTTCCTATGCATACTGAAACACATACAGTAGACATTTCACACAACTGGATTACATATACCGTTCTGCATTTTGTTTTTTTCTTTAACACTGTATGATATGTGAGTCTTTAAAAAAAAATGGTTAAACATACATTTGCTTATATATGCATCAAACATTTCTAGAATAAGAAATTGAAGAGAAGAATTGGGAACTGGGGGAACGAGAAGGAAGGAACTGACTTTTCATTGTATGTCTTCTAAATTTTTTGAATTTTCCTTTTTTACTATAACCACATGTTATTCAAACTAGATATTTTTATAATATACATGTATGTATATATATTTCTATATATATATATAGAAACACCCCCCCCACACACACACCCCATGGGCATCATTCCATGACACTGTATGTAGCACTATCTCAATTTTTTACCTGCTGCATAGTATTTCAGTGCCAGGGGCTGTTCATTTACTTAGCAGGTACTGCATCAAATGTTAAGGAGTTATGAGAAAAGGAGACAGGAGGGCCCAAAACAGAAAGTGCAGGAGTACTGGAGCTGCCAAGCGAAGCACCAGCAGAAGCACCAGGACACATGCAGAGAGAGATGCAGGGAAAGCATTTCCACATAGGGAAAGCAGCATGCAGAGAGTGCATTACAGTGTACAAAGGGAACACGCGTGAAGGGCGCGTTTCAGGGTGTGTTACAGTGCGCAGTGTGCGGACCGGGGAATACAAGGGGATTCGTGAAGGAGTCAACGTGAGGGTCTGCTGGGAAGTACTTGCAGGGAACACGTGGTGGAAGGAGATGACAGAACTGAGTCTGGGGTGCATCGGGAAAACAAGGAATGGGGAAACAAAAAATGCAGACTAGGGGAAAGGAGGCAGAGCAGTGTATATGGGGATAGCCACCACATACCATGGACTTTCCCGACAGGCTAGATCTCAAATAATTCTCCCCCCTAGGAATCACAATTGGTTGAATTTTAGAAATACTAAATGTAGGGAAATTTCCTGGTGGTCCAGTGGTTGGGACTCCATGCTTCCACTTATGGGAGCTCGGGCTTGATTCCTGGCCAGGGAACTAGGATCCCCCTGCGGATTAAATATTAAATGTATACCTAAGAGTTCTTATTTATAAATTTATTCATTGGAAAAGCAGTTTGCTTTTGAACTGTGTCTTCATTTCAGTCCCAGAAAACTGGATCCGGTTGTATACAGGGAGGTGACAGGTAGTGAAAATGTAAGGCAAGCGTGTGCAGAGAGATGCCTGTGTCTAGTAAGAAGCCCAAAGGATTAGAGGGTACAAATCATGCTGAGTAGGAGGTAGTATGAGCGAGTGGAATGGGCGGTCTTTGAAGTCAGACCCCATCTTAGTGCCAGCCTGCTCAGCTGATGACCTTGGGCAATCTCTTAACCTCTCTGGGTCACGGTTTCCATGCAAAGCGGGCAGGGAAGTGGTGGGACAAGACAGAGGTGATGCAGGTAAAGCAGGCAGCAAGGTCTCAACACCATGGGGTGCCCTGTAGAGCTCGGAGCGCGTTAAGAGTCGGGGGAGTGTAGACCGGCCGGGCGGGACCAGCCGGGCACCCAAGGACTGACCGAGGGGGCGCCGCACCTTCCGGGCGCCCGAGACGCCGAGATCTGGGCCCACGCTCCTCCCGCTCATCTGCTTTTCCCGACGAGAAGCCCAAATCCTCGAGGCCGGCCGCAGAGTTTCCAGAGCCGCGCCCTCAACACCCGGGCCTCCCAATCCCCGGGCCCGGTACCTGGCGGCGTGCAGCGCCCGCAGCGTTTCGCGGGCGAACTGATCAGTGCCGAAAAACAGCACCCTCCAAGGAGGCTTCTCGCGCACGCGAGCGCCCTGGCCGTCCTCCCAGCTAGGGGCCGCGCTCAGCCTGGCCAGCGCTCGCCAGCGTGGGTTCGGCCTCCGGCCCGCGCCGCCCCCGACTGGCAGGGGTCCGCAGCAGCACCGCACCAGCACCCTCATCTCTTCCGCCGGCGGCCTACCCTGCGCAGGCGCGTAGGGGCGCGGGAGCGGGAGCCAGGCGGAGGGGCGGGGCCGGGGAGGAAGCTCGTCCGGCGAGGCCTTTCCGCGACCGGGGCGTGGCTTGCCTGATTGGAGGCGTGGCCCATGTGTGTTGGCGCTGGAAAAGGAATTTGAGGGTTCAAATGTGCGCCTGACTTTTGTTGCATTTGTTTACACGATTTAGCCAATCTCCCCAAACAACTCTTTTTAGAAACAAATCATATATGTTTTCAGATGACGAAATCTCTATTTCTGTACCATTTTCTCAGCCGTTATAATTAATATTTACTAGATCCCCTTTGTTTAGTTAATCTTCATATCACCCATAGCAGGTAGATATTATTACAGCCATTTTTCTGAAGAGGATCTGAGACTCCGTGAAGTTAGGGTGGTTACCTATGTAAGGTCCTCACAGCTAGCCCCACGTGGCTCCAAAGTCTGTTATCCTAACCTCCACAGCAATCCCAAGTACTAGGCAAGTCAGTGTCCCCAATTCTTGCTTGTAATCACTCTAGTGACTCAAAGGCCCACTTTTCCCCATACCTTGTAGGTACCTTTCCGCACAGAGGGATAACACAGAAGAGATTCTAAGGGACTGTGGGCAGGGGAAGCTGTCCTCAGAAGAATCTAAAAGCTTTTAGTGCTTAGATTCTGTATTTCTGAGGTCCTTGAGTGGCCTATGCAACCTGAATGTAGAGTGGAGACCAGATTCCTTCCTAGACTTACTGTCACCGCCTTTCCCCATCACACAACCTCAGGCTCAGTGACACTAGGCCAGTCCTTTTTCTTAAATTATGAGCTCAGCACATCCCCGCTTCAGTGCCTTAGCTTATGCTCCCCTCGTCCCCACTTCCTCTCTATCCATTGATGCTATCCATTCTTCAATGTCAAGGTCAGACATCCTCCCTGAAGCCCTGAGCTCCTGCCTGAATGGATTTAGTGTTTTCCTCTATGTACCCTTTTTCATAGTATTTTTTTTTAATATCTTGGCCTAATTTGTTTATTTTTATTTTTTACTTTTTGGTCGTGTGGCATTTTATTTCCCCAACTAAGGATTGAACTGGTGTCCCCTGGAGTAGAAGGGTGGAATCTTAACTACTGGGCCACCAGGGAAGTACCTTTATGTATCCTTTTAATGCTCTGTGGGGACCTCTGCTTCTTACAGTTGGAATTACTGAGGAAAGTTGTCTGATGTATGCATGCTGCTGCTGCTGCTGCTAAGACCCTTCAGTCGCGTCCGACTCTGGGCGACCCCATAGACGGCAGCCCACCAGGCTTCCCCGCCTCTGGGATTCTCCAGGCAAGAACCCTGGAGTGGGTTGCCATTTCCTTCTCCGATGTATGCATAGACATTGACAAATTCACCTGTGTGTTGAATACTAAAGAGATAGGCAAAGAGGAAGGGAGGGACTATTTCCAGTGATTCTGCTCATCTGATTGTATAAGAGAAGGGGATGGAGATAGGATCTCAACCTTCTATTCTTTCGATCAAGTTATCTTCTAATATCCTCTCATGGTAAGTGGAATATGATTTTTTTTTTTCTTTTTGGCCACACTGCAGGGCTTGCAGGATCTTAAGTTCTCCAACCAGGAATTGAATCTGCATCCCGGGCAGTGAAACCACAGTCTTAGCCACTAGACCCCCGGGGAATTTCCTCTAGTATTATTTAATGGTCTTTTCCCACACAACATGACCTATAAATACAAGTCAAATAGTCATTTGGGTTTTCACCTTAGAATCTGGCTGCTGTCTAAAGTGTGACTCTTCATATTTGTGTTTATGTAATTTTTCTCCTTGAATCAGAGAGACTTCATTATGATCCAATTAATTTTCAGCAACCCAAATTCACCTCTAATAGCCCCGCCCCACCGAGCTGCCTTTCGCTCACAGCGCCCTCTGCTGATCACATAGCGACTGCTCAGTCTGAAGAGTCGTTTCCAATCCCTTGGCTTTCCTCCACAGAGTTAAACTGAAGAAAGTAGGGAAAACTACCGCCTCTTGACCTGCCTCTTGAGAAATCTGTATGCAGGTCAGGAAGCAACAGTTAGAACTGGACATGGAACAACAGACTGGTTCCAAANGAAGAATTGATGCTTTTGAACTGTGGTGTTGGAGAAGACTCTTGAGAGTCCCTTGGAGTACAAGGAGATCAAACCAGCCCATCGTATTCAGGAAGTCAGTCCTGAATATTCATTGGAAGGACTGATGCTGAAGCTGAAATTCCAACACTTTGGCCACCTGATGCAAAGAACTGACTCATTGGAAAAAACCCTGATGGAAAGATTGAAGGCAGGAGGAGAAGGGAACGACAGAGGATGAGATGGTTGGATGGCATCACCGACTCAATGGACATGAGTTTCAGCAAGCCTTGGGAGTTGGTGATGGAGAGGGAAGCCTAGTGTGCTACAGTCCATGGGGTCACAAAGAGTTGAAAACAGCTGAGCAACTGAACTGAACTAAACCACTGACATCTAAGTTTCTAGCAGGCGTTCTTTTCATTTTTAGCAAATATCTTAAAAAAAAAACCTGAACATGATGTAACATGTACATGATGTAACATGTAACATGTACATGATGTAACAACTGACATTTTCCCAGGATGCTAACATGGAAATCTTTCTGAAACTCTTGATGGTAAACTGGAGATGTATGGAGGCAGGAGTGGGGTGAAATCCATTTCCAACCCCAGACAAATCCATGGCTGGAGCACACGAAGATGAGGACATCAGCCCCTAATGGCAAGGAGTTTTAGGTAATAAAGTAAGACGTCCAGAAAGCACATCCAAGAGGACTGGGCTATAATAGAACCCAGACAGTGCTAATTTGGCTGGTGCTTCAGTTTCCAGAAATTCCTCTCCCCTGATGAATGGAGTATGTGTGCATTTGAATCAATGAAATTACTCCAAGTTCTGAGTCTGGGTGACAAGACAAGAGCAGTGTGGTTGACAGAGGAAGAACTGCATGGTGGTAACCATGACAACATTTCAGCTTTGAATGCTTTGAAACTGAAGTGATGAGACAGGCAAGCAGAGATGTTTGGTAGAAATCTAGAATGTGGGGCTGGCTTCCATAACTATGGCTGGTGAGAGAGGTGATCCAGGAGTTTAAGGAAATGTCCCTCGTTTCCCTTCATCCCACCTAAACCTATGTGTACGTGATTTTTGAGGAGTCAGGAGACCTGCCACAGACTCTGTGTGTGTGTGTGTGTGTGTGTAAAATTAGCCCGTTGGCATTGAGAGTTTAATGAGGAGCAGTCAGACCCCTGGGAAAGATGGAGCTGAGGCACAAGAGGAAAATGGTCAGAGCTCTGGTTAGTAAGGTGGCCGATGCTTTAGTTCACAAGAATCTGTGGCCCGGGAGGCCGTGCCACATGTAACCGGGGGAGGTTTGCCACATATAAGCATCGCGCCACTGTCAGCGGCGGGGACTGAACCGAGGGACGCAGCCCAGTGGTACCTTTTGGGATGCAGCCCCTTAGAGCAAAGATTCGTATCCTACCATCTACTGCCTGTGGTTGCCTCGGAAGTCCGCGAGGGGGCGCTGCGCACTAATTTCCCGTCCCCGAACGTGCTTCTGACTCCCTTTCGGCTTTGTTCTTCCTGCCATCCGTGCTCTCAGTAGATGCCACTTCCTAGTCTGTCTAGCCGCTGCGTAAAGCCGGGTAGGGTCCGCCGGGCCGCCCGCTGGGGAAGCACCGGGACCTGCTGACCACCCCACGTCCCTGCACCCGCCGCAGCTCTTACAAGTGTTAGTCGCTCAGCTGCGTCCCACTCTGTGCGACCCCATGGACTGTAGCCCGCCAGGCTCGTCTGTCCATGGAATTCTCCAGGCAAGAATACTGGAGTGGGCTGCCATTCCCTTCTCCGGGGTATTTTCCCGAGCCAGGGGTCAAACCCAGCTCCCCTGCATTGCAGCCAAATTCTTTACCCTCTGAGCCACCAGGTGGTAAGAGCCCTCAGCTCTTACAGATAATGCACAGATACTGAGGAGGCTATTCTATGCAACATCTGTGTGCCGTTCCGCCTCTGGAGAGAGCTTAAGAAGCATCGCGGGCCCACAGGACTGAGTGCCCTGGAGGAGAGAGGCTGGAGAGGTCCCATGACAGCTGAAGAATGCCAGTTCCAGGCAGGGAAGCCAGATGAGGTACTGCAGGAATGAGCCGCAGCTTAGGGATAAGAGAGAGGGCTAGGAAAGTTTCTCTGTGCTGCCCACAGTCAACCGAGGAGACCAAGAGAAATGCTGAAACAGGCTTAAAGAGATCAAATCGTAAAATCTTTGGTTTGTTTCTCAGCCCCTTCCCCCAAGCGAAACAACTGTGTAGTATTAACAAAGGGAGAGTATAATGTCTTTTCATAAACTACCCTTGCCGAGCCACAAGGAAACTGACAAGATAGTAAAGCCATTTCAGTTCAGCTCAGTTGCTCAGTCCTGCCCAACTCTTTGCGACCCCAGGGTGTTAGAGTCAAGATAGTTGTGAACTTCTCAGGCGGTGACTGACACCGTGCCAGTGCAGGGGACACCGGTTCAATCCCTGGTCCAGGAAATAAGATTCCCACATGCCAAGTGGCAACTGCACCCTTGTGCCTAGGGCAATAAGAGAAACCACCGCGACGAGTGGCCCCCGCTCACCCCAGTGAGAGAAAGCCCAGAGCATCAAAGAAGACCCAGTGCAGCCAAAAATAAATAAATATTTCTTTTAAAGACTAAGCTTGGAGACTAAAGCTGGCCAAGTGCATGCTCATTAAAAAAAAAAAAAAAGACTCAAGATCGTTGTTACCCTTGGAGGGGGTTTGGTGGTAGTGACTGGGGAAGGAGCACAGAGCGGCTTCTAGGTGTTTGGTCAGGCTCCATTTCTTTATCTGGCGACTGAGGACGCAGGTGTGATTGTTTTGTGAAAATGCATCAAGTTCTAGTTTTATGATTTTTGGGCTCTGTGTGTGGTATAATTCAATTTTTTTAAAGACTCAGATT